GGAATGGGAAGGGATCAGCCGGACAATCTGATTAGCGCGACGATTCCAAATCCCAAGACGTTGACAGAGAGACCCTGTGAGACAGCGCCGAGTTCAGGGTCACCTATTCTTGCACACGAGCCCGGGGGCCTGTGAAAAATTCTGGAGGGACAATTCGGAGATCTCGCAGCATCATTTTAGGATCGGCAGCCTCCAAAGTGGTATCTGGAGTTTCCTTGGGAATCACAACGCATCTCCAGACTTAACAGAGATCAGTTCCCCTGGAGCAAACTCGAATGATAAAAGGGTTGGAACACTTTCCCTATGAGGAAAGGTTAAGGCGCTTAGGGCTCTTTAGCTTGGAGAAAAGACGACTGAGGGGTGGCATGATCGAGGTTTATAAGATTATGCATGGGAAAGAGCAGGTAGAGAAAGAGGTACTTTTCTCCCTTTCTCACAATACAAGAACTCGTGGGCACTCCATGAAACTGCAGAGCGGTCGGGTTAGAACGGATAAAAGGAAGTACTTCTTCACCCAAAGAGTGATTAACACATGGAATTCACTGCCACAGGAAGTGGTGGCGGCTACAAGCATGGACAGCTTCAAAAGGGAATTAGATAAGCATATGGAGCAGAGGTCCATCAGTGGCTATTAGCCACAAGGTATAGCTAGGGGCTCTGGGGCAAGTGATGCTCTGTCTTCTTGGTCCTTGGGGGGGGGTCAACAGTGGGAGGGCTTCTAATGTCCTGGCTCCACTGCTGGACCTCCTGATGGCACCTGGTATTTCTGGCCACTGTGTGACACAGAGTGTTGGACCGGATGGGCCTTTGGCCTGATCCAACATTGGCATCTCTTATGTTCTTATGTTCTTAAACTGCTGCTTTGGAGGGTGGGTTCTATGCAATTATACCCTGCTGTGGTCCCACTCCTCACCAACCCTCGGACGTGGCTCCTGAGTATGGTTGGCAACCTTGGACTGAGAAATTCCTGGAGATTTGGGGTTGGTCAATAGCCATAGAGGACACCCTCCAAAACAGCCCATTCCTCCAGGGCAACTGATCACTGTAGTCTGGAGTTGAGCTGTATTTCTGGAAGGAGGAGGAGGAGGAGGAGATTGGATTTATACCCCGCCCTTCACTCGGGGTCTCAGAGCGGCTTACAAACTCCTTCCCCTTCCCCTGAGGTAGGCGGGGCTGAGAGAGCTCTGACAGAAACTGCTCTTTTTCAAGAACAGCTCTGACCAGAACTATGGCTTGCCCAAGGTCCTCCAGCAGGTGCAAGTGGAGGAGTGGGGAATCAAACCCGGTTCTCCTGGATCAGAGACTGCGCACTGAACCACTACATCAAACTACACCACTACACCAAACTGCGGGGAGCCCGGGCAAGGTCCCCACCCCGGCCCTCCTGCCTCGAAGTCCTGCACACAGAAGTTTTGGCTGTAGTGGGCGTGGCCAACTCTGAAGCCAGACGGAACTCCATTCCTGTGCGTTCCCGCCCCAAAATAACCCTGTAGGAAACAATACAGGGCTCATAGGAATGGTACGGATTTATGTCGGCGTGCAACATGTTTGCCTCCTCCACTCCTGAGGTGTGGTCCATCGGCTAGACAGAGTTGTCAACCCCCAGGGCAGGTCCTGGAGATCTTCCAGAATTTACAGCCTATCTCCAGACTGCAGAGACCAGTTCCCCCAGAGAGAATGGCTGCCTTGGAGGGTGGACTCTATAGCATTATACCCCACTCGCCCTCAGCTCCGCTCCCAAATCTTCCAGAATTTACCAACTTGGAGATGGCAACCGGAATGTGTCTTGAAATCTGGAGATCCTTGTTGGAGGAGAACCAGGACAAGAAGAACAGGTGTGTGTGTGGGAAAGTATTTTTGAATTTCCTGCATTGTGCAGGGGGTTGGACTAGATGACCCTGGGGCCCTTTCCAACTCTAGGATTCTAGAGGTGCACCGCAGATGTAGATCTGCATTTAATACAAGGTTCCCAGTGTAAAGTTTACTAGTTGCTACCATGACCTTCAGGAGCTGTGGTGGCTCAAGTGGTTAAGACGCTGAACTGCAGGCTATGGAAGGTCGGTAGTTCAGCAGTTCGAGACCCGGGTGCCGCATGACGGAGTGAGCTCCCGTCTCTAGTTCCAGCTCCTGCCAACCTAGCAGTTCGAAAGCAAGAAATTGCAAGTAGATGAATAGGGACCACTTCGGTGGGAAGGTAACAGCGTTCCGTGCACCTTGGTGTTTAGTCATGGCGGCCACATGACCACGGAAACGTCTTCAGACAGCGCTGGCTCTTCGGCTTTGAAACGGAGATGAGCACCGCAACCCTAGGGTCGGACTCGACTGGCTTTCGAGCAAGGGAACCTTTACCTTTACCTTTTACCATGACCTTCAGGTTGCTTAACGCCACTTGCTTTGATAGACAGGGTAGGAATTGGAGCCATTTGGTGCAAGGTGGCACTGGGTACCCAACGGGATCATATGCAGGGTTGCCAGTCTCCAGGCAGTGACTGGAGGTCTCCTGGGCATACAACTGCTCTCCAGGTGACAGAGGTCAGTTCTCCTGGAGAAAAAAGGCTGCTTTGGAAGGGGGGCCCTGTGGCTTTATACCCCCGTTAAGTCCCTCCCCTCTCTGCAAGCCCCGCCCCCTTCAGTCTCCACCCCCAACATCTGCAGCTATTTCCCAACCTGGAGCCGGCACCCCTTACTGATACGTTTTATGACCAACTGATAAAAGGAGGTTGCCGCCCGTTTTACGACCTAGGAGGCAAATGAACTTTACTGATTTAACGATATTATTTTGTGATACGCCGCCAAAACAATCCAGACCTTTGCTTCACTTCTGATCTGGATGAATCCAGCTGAGCTTTATTTATTACCTCTGATGTGTCTGCCCTTATTTCTCTTTCTGCGGGACGCACTTCTGTTAGAAAGGGAGTTTGGCCTTGTATCAGCGATCCTGTTCCCTGCGTTGTAAGGAATCGGGTCTCTTCTGACAGTGAGCATCAAACAATATCTCTGAAACCAGCTGCTGTTTCTCCATCTATGGTGATACCCTGCCAGCTTTTCCATTGGCCAAAGAAGGCAAACCTTTTGACCACGGCGAAGGCTGTGCCACGGATCATGGGACCTACGTGGACAGAAGCAACATAGGATTGTGGCTACAGCAACACAGAGGAATTGGTAGGGTAGGCAGCAGTGTTCCCTCTAAGCTGAGTTAGTGTGAGCTAGCTCACAGTTTCTCAGCCTCTGGCCTCACACATTTTTGTCTTCGCTCAGGAAGGGATGGCTCCAGAGCAAACTAATTTATGCAGCAGCCAGATTGCTCACTCACAACTTTAATGCCAGTAGTTAAAAGCAGCGGTCATTTCGTAGAAAAAGAGGTGAAGGAGCTCATTAGCATAACTCATTTGCATATGCCACACCCCCTGATATCACCGGAAGTGTGTCAGAAGGCAACACCCACCACTCAGGCTCATCTGGACTGTTTTGGATTGCTACTATTGGGGGGGGGAACGCGGAGATCTGCCCTCACAGAGGAGGGAGAGCTTGTACCTGAATAAAACTTGGCCTTAAAGGTGCCACTGGACTGTTTTGGATTGCTAGCTATGGGGGGGGGATGTGCAGATCTGCCCTCACAGAGGAGGGAGAGCTTGTACCTGAATAAAACGTGGTCTTAAAGGTGCCACTGGACTGTTTTGGATTGCTGGCTATGGGTGTGTGTGTGTGCAGATCTGTCCTCGCAGAGGAGGGAGAGCTTGTGCCTGAATAAAACTTGGTCTTAAAGGTGCCACTGGACTGTTTTGGACCGCTAGCTATGGGGGGGGGATGCGCAGATCTGCCCTCACAGAGGAGGGAGAGCTTGTACCTGAAGGCGGGCCGGGGGGGGGGCTCTGCAACTTACCTGGCTGCTACTTGCTCCTTGTGGCCCGACTGAGGGCTGCTGGGAGCAGGGGGCGGGGCTTGTTGCATGTGCCCACCCCCTGGGCTCTTTACTGCTGGAGCTCCGCTCCTGTGTGCTCCGGCAGGAAATGACCCCTGGTTAAAAGTAGAACTTTTGCTCACAAGACTCCACAGCTTAGAGAGAACATTGGCTGGCCGGTTCCCCTGGCCATCAGTGGGGGATGGGGGGGCAGGGTTGCCAGATCCAGGCTGGTAAACTCCTGGAGATTTGGGGATGGAGCCTGGGGAGGACCTCAGTGAGGTAGAATGCCACAGAGTCAGCCCTCAAAACATCCCTTATCTCCAGGGGGTTAGGGTTAGGGTTAGGCCGGAGACGAGCTGTAATTTCAGGGGATCCCTGACTGGAAGCGCTCCAGTGGGAAAACCGGGAGGATCCGAACCCAAAGTCCTTTTCTGTGTGCTGAAAAGTTACAAAAAAAGACTTTCGGACTGTCCACGTGCCGGCTTGTTCTTTGACGCCTGAACGAATGCTCGACAAACAGAAGTTTCCACTCACAGGGTGGCCTTGGACAAAGAAACGTGCATCCAGCCTCCTCGGCTTAGCAGTTGTTTCCTTTTCAGTCCTTAAACTGGTCCGGTCCGTAAGGCGGGTCTGTCCTCCCTTCTAGCAGAGCCGATCACAGGGATGACAGCTTCTTTCGTTCACCGGGCCAAGAGGAAATGTTAACGAAGAAAGGGAGGGAGAAAACAAAAACCACGGGGCGGTTGCTTTATTGGTTCGTTAGCCTTTAACCAGAAACAGAGAATCGTCTTGTCGGTCGAGGGCGGTGGGGGGGGGGGAAAGGACCGTAAGTGCTGGCACAGCGTGTTTCAAAGGGTACAGTGATAATGTACTCTGCCCTGGCATGACATTTTACCCTTCCAACAGGGACTGAATCGCCTGGATGCCAGAGACGAAGATGCTGGAGAAATTCACCAGCCGACTGGCGATCAAGAATGCAACTGTCCGAGAGGCCCTGGCCGAGGCCCTGGCGACATTCCTCTTAATGGTGAGCACCAAGAGGCCTTTGCTCAACGTGCGTGTAGATAGCGGGGGTACTGTGTTTCCTAGGGTTGCCCAGGTGTCGGTTGGGAAATGCGAGAGCCAGTTTGGTGCAGTGGTTAAGTGCGCAGACTCTAATCTGGGAGAACCGGGTTTGATTCCCCACTTCCTCCTCCGGCTGGATGACCTTGGGCAAGCCATAGTTCTGGCAGAGCTGTTCTTGAAAAAGAGCAGTTTCTGTCAGAGCTCTCTCAGCCCCACCTACCTCACAGGGTGTCTGTTGTGGGGAGGGGAAGGGAAAGGAGTTTGTAAGCCACTCTGAGACTCCGAGTGAAGGGCGGGGTATAAATCCAGCCTCCTCCTCCTCCTCCTCTTCTTCTTCTTCTTGAGAGCCAGTTTGGTGTCGTGGTTAAGTGTGCGGACTCTAATCTGGGAGAACCCGGTTTGATTCCCCACTCCTCCACTTGCGCCTGCTGGATGACCTTGGGCAAGCCGTAGTTCTGATAAGAGCTGTTCTTGAAAAAGAGCAGTTTCTGTCAAGAGCTTTCTCAGCCCCACCTACCTCACAGGGTGTCTGTTGTGGGGAGGGGGAGGGAAAGGATCCGAAGCCGCTCTGAGACATCGTTGGGTAGTGAAGGGTGGGGTATGAATCCAATCTCATCATCTTCTTCTTCTCCTGGAGATTTTGGGGGAGGAGCCTGGGGCAGACAGGGTTTGGGGAGGGGAGTGGCTTCAGTGGGATATGGTGCCATCCATTATTATGAGGAAGGACCCAGCAGTGTATAACGGCACAGAGTCTGCCCTCCAGAGCAGCCATTTTCTCCAGGGGGACTTATCTCTGTTGCCTGGAGATCTGTTGTAATTCCAGGAGATCTCCAGGCCCCACCTGGTGGGTGGCACCCAGACTCGAGGGAAGGATGTTATGATGACCCAGAGGAAGGAGCTCCTTTGCCTAGATGCTTCTGGGCAGCCAGTGAGGTATGATGCTTAGACTGGGATCTGGGAGAGCCAGGTTCGGATCCCCGCCCTGCCATAGACGCTTGTGGGGTGGCCTTAGGCCAGTCCCACCCTCTCAGCCTAGCCTACCTCACAGGATTGTTGTGAGGACACAACGGAGGGGAGGAGAACGATGTATTTATTTATTTAATAAATAATAAATAAATAAAACATAAATAATAAATAATAAATAAGCTGTTTCAAGTCCCCACGGAGGAGAAAGGCAGAGCATAGATGAAGTATAGATAGATCCATGGGAGGAGAATATCACTGGCTACTAGCCTTGGTCTGATCCAGCAGGGCTCTTCTGACGTTCTTATGAAGGCCTCGGCCTCTCTGCCCTGTTGTTGGCCCTCCAGAGGAATGGGTTGGCCAAAGTGTGACATGGGATGCTGGACTAGGTGGACCCTCACTGGTC